AAGAAATTTAGACGTTAAATTACACCCAATTTTTAAAAAACAACACTACGCTTATTTAAAAAGTAAACATTGGTGATTAAGACATATCTTAGGCATCACATATTGTTCGTAAGGTATGTGAACAATAATAAAACCTGGCGATCCCTACCTTCTGGAATACCTATGATATGGAGAGAAACAACCAAATCACCATTTCTGCATGGGCAATGTTCGTGGATATAATACGAAAAATTTGAAAAACATTGTTTACTCGAACCCCAAGACTTCGAAACAAAAATTTTCTGGCACAAGGGATTCAAAACTCGTATTTCAGGAAGCACGAGACAAAATTTATAGGTACTTTTGAACAAAGTGGTTCACTTGTTCATGGCACCGATATTTCCTTCCAATTTAATAAAAAATCTACTACTATCAGACAAAAATTCTGAGGACTGAAGGCTTTTTATAGATTCATTAAAGAGATGCCTTAAAGCTTTTCTTTTGCTTAACAGGAAGGTTCCTGCTTCTGAATCTGTTGCTTATTCTTTGCAAATGAAAGATGCCTACGAAAATCAGGAACTACTGCTTGAGAAAATCAATTACAAGGACCATAGTTCGATAATTTGTGGTGACTTAAAAATTGTGGATTTTCTACTAGGTCCGCTGTCAGGATATACGAAATATCCTTGTTTTTTGTGTGAGTGGGACAGTAGAAAAAGACACCAACATTGGGTGCAAAAAAACTGCCTAAAAAGTGCATGGGTTTCATTTACTGCTGTTATACAAGGTTTTCTAGGAAGCAACAAATCTCCATATAAAATTTTAGAAAATATATTGGAGAAATTTGATGCAACATGAGCACAAAACCAAACTTTTTACACTCATGTGTGGACTACTTTCCCGAAAATGTTGGTGCCGAAATGGAACACAGATATCAAGGGCGATCGAATGTTGCAATGAGGGAAGATTACCGCTGGTCTTTGAAAAGGGACAGTCGAGCTATGGAATATACAATGAAATTCACTAAACGAAGTTTTTCTGAAAGAAGAAGAGATCCTCCATAGCTATTACTTGAGACTTTGTTATTTAATTTAGATTTTTTAATTCGGTTTTTGTTCTTGTACTAATAAAAATAATGTTTAACTCAACTGAATGTCAATAATTAAGGGGGAGATTTTTGAGTCTATTTTGAAAAGAAAACTTCATATAAACATTTTAAACAAGCCTTTGCCCTCAAAGTACCTGTTCTAGTTAACCTTTTATGTACATTTGAAAATGTTCACCTATCCGGCATGCTATTGGCAAAGTGCTTTTGATATAATTGCTTAGTTGCCGGCGCACTGCCATCAGCCAAACCGTATGTAATTTTAAACACCAAATTAATAAGACGCAAAGAACTGAATTTAAAAACTGTCAAACAACCGCTTGGACAGCAGAATTAATATTTCTTGCAGACACAGCCTACTACATTGATAAGAAACAGTTATAAAGATTTCAAAAAAACAACTCACAGTTTACGTACTTCGTATTCCTTCTTCGATTTTTTGAAATATTTTAATAAAACAGATAGACAATTACTTACGCAAGAAATAATGATGACGATAATTCTGTCATGTTAACGATATTGTCATGATCACGCAGAGAAGGGATTTTTATTTTTTAAAGCATAAACGTTTTTTCGCTTCGTGGAGCCGTTCTTGTATACCCATAAAATAAGATAGTATCTTCAAAGTTTAAATAAATTTAATACTTTGTTTATAATTATTTTTTTAAGTTAACAAAAAAGAACTTACCCATTTTATGTTAGCAAAAGACATTTATAAACTAAAAAAAATAGCTTCATATTTTTATATACAAATGGACTATTTCACTATTTTAATTTTTTTTCTTTACAACTTCATTAATTGAAAAAAGATCTTAATAGAAATAATTAATAGTTTGTAAATGTTTTTTTCATGTAGCTATTATTCAAATAATTAGTTTAATAATTTTTGTAAAAATCGTAATTGGCAGTTCTCTACAAACTAACAAACAAAAATATTTTGTCCCTTAACAATTTTATTGGTTATTATATTCATAATTTTTTGTACACGGATTGTTAACTTTTCTTTATTTTTTTTTGTGAAGGTTTTAAAAATTACAAAAAGAAATTTTTTATGATTTAAAAAAAATGTCTTAACAATAACTTTCAATTATTCTTAAACATTTCTTCATGTCGCTATGTTTTAATAATTAGATAAGATTTTGTTAAATTATAATTAACAGCACTCTACAAATTAAGAAACATTTTTTTTCATTAACAATTTCATTTTTTACTATATTAACAATTTGTTACAAATTACCGAAAAAAAATTATTTCGATTTTTCGAAAATATACGTAGTACAAAAGTTGCAGCAGCTGATGCAATTCTTGACTTGAAAACTAATAATATAAACATTCAGGTCATTTTTGATGGTAATGAAATTGTCTTTCAGAGTATCTATTGTTTATCTGATGTCTTCTGCATTTGTTTATAATTTTTTTTTGTATTTTTCAATCCTTTTAGCCTTTTAGCTTTTTAGCTCAGTATATATTGCAATTTTGGTTATTGCACTTCAAGATAATATTGTTTCATCTATCAAAATTATGTAAGAGTTGCAGTTATTTATTTATTTTTTATTTCATTTTTTTATAAACTGTGATAATTTTTTTCCGAATCTTCGGGCCTATTTTAATTACATTCCCAAAAAATTTATATATTCCTTTCATCGGTTGTTTTTTGCATAATTTTATTCGGTCTATTATTTGCTTATTTATGAAAAAGAAATGTTTTGTTGAAATTGTTAATGTAACAAACAAATAATGAAACTGCAAATTGAAAAAATAATGTTTGTTAATTTGTAGAGATCTGTCAATTATGATTCTTAACTAATTATTTATAAAATAGCTACATAAAGAATACATTTATAATCAATGAACAAATATTATTTTATATTATTTATAGAATTTTTTTAAATCATAAATGGCAGTGGTATTTTTTTTAATATTGAAATAGTCCATTTGTTTATAAAAAATCTATAAACAAATAGAGATTATTTATTTTTTATTAATAAGTATCTTTTGTTATCATAAAATCGGCATGTTAATGACAAATGAAAAAACAATTACACGATTATATTAGTAAATTCTCTTTCTTTAACTTAAAATAATAATTATAAACTTTTATCACACTTATTTTATGGGTATACAACAAAGTTAATTAACAATTATCTAGTTCATTGATATAATATAATATAATCAGTTTTCTGAAGTGTTCAGATTATCCCTTTTTTTTGCATTTTGCAACTTGCGACGATATGCGCGCAACCTCAACGTGGCTCCCGGAGGGCAATTTTCAATGTTAAATTATTAATTATTATTAAATTTATGGAGGTACAGTTTCGGGAACTATTTTTTAGTAAATTTTCTTCTTTTTAAGGATATTCTTTTCAAAATCCAAAAAAAAAAATAGTTTACGAACTATAAGCAAAAAACTAAATATTTATTTTTACTTGTTCATTTTTTTGCACCATAATTCCGAATCAAATGAGCTATATTACATAATTTTAGTAATAGTATGTTCAATTAACGTCATTAACTAGACTAATACAGTTACTGCAGCTCTCGATAACCCTCTAAAGGTGCCTTTTTGTATATTAATTATTTCGTCCTGTTTATGTTATACATTTTTTATTCTTAAAAGCAAAACTTTATATTTGGGAAATTTTTACGTTATACAGAAAATTCATACGTTTAATATCAATACGTTAATATTACATATTGTTATTGGGTAAGGCAATTAAAAAAATATATATCCCTACCTGCCAGGCTTATTTTTTTGTTTCGAAAAGGTTATTTGATAAGAATATAACAATGTCGCGTCGAAATCATTTGTAGCTTGAAGCTTGAGAAAAATGTGTATGACAATTTAATCAGTCGAAGGGTAGAAACAAGAAGCTTTAAAAGTATCCTGCCTGTTTACAAAAACGCCAATATCGTCGATAAGAGATGTTATTAGTAGTGGAGAATTCAAGAAAATGAATAAACGTAGTGATTTTTGAACTCACCGTATAGATAATAGTGATCCGGGCCTAATAAGAAGTAAAATATATTGTCTTTGTCAAAGCGAAGTTGGATAAACTGAAAAAGAAGCTAGAAAATGAAACCGATATAAATATAAGCCGTTTCACCTTCCATAGAGTTGTTTGTAAAATGGAATGTCAGTAAAGCAAAATAGACAAAAGTCAAGTGCTAATGGAATCACACAGATTACGCACTTGGAGATTTAGTTACCTTCAAGAAATAAAAAGATATAGATTAGACCACAGATCCATAATTTTTAAATTTTTGAAAATTGGTTTTAATCTTTTAAAAAATATCTTGTTATTGTCATAGAAAAAGCAATCTAGCGCAGTCGTCTGCTATGCATAGCACCGGCCTCATTAAGTTCCAAACTGAAATCCGGGAAAATTTGTTAGAAAATGATATTTATTTTGAATTCAGTTACAAAACAGCAACCTTATGGAAATCTTAAATTCATTTGCAATTAAAAACGAGTATGTATGCGACAATTTGGCTGAACAAGATGGGCATACTGTTTTACGTCTTGCTCCATATCATTGTATGTTTAACCCCATAAAGCACTTTAAGTCCCAGTATTATAAATTTTATAAAAAAAATATTTATTAATATACCTATCAATTGAGAGCTGGAAAAATTCAGTGCAGCACATTTATATAGAAAACAACATAATATATTATAATTAATTTCAATGACGACTCTGATAGTGAAGCAGAATTAGATTTAACTATGAATTTATTGTATTGAATTTAATGTCATTGTCTTTTCTTAAACTATGAATTTATTGTATTGAATTTAATGTCATTGTCTTTTCTTAGTATATTTTAATAAGATTATACCCACCTAAATAATAAAAAAAAATTGTTATTATTACCAAAATCTTTGAGAGTCTGTCCCTAATGTTATAGCCTTTAATACCTACCGAACACGATTTTTATTGTCATCGGCAGGTAACTTGCGGCATTTTTTAAATTTCTGTACCCGGTGTGCGTCGTAGATCCACAAATATAACAGTTACAATTTTTGAAATTAGTTACCTTTCGCTGGATCGAAGACCGAATATTCACCAGCAGCAGACTAAGGCGGAATCTGACATCCTGAAAAAGATTTTTCGTTTACAATCGCCAGGTAGAAACTCGCCCGAAAATTACTCACCACGTGGTTCTTTAAAAATCGCACGTGTCGGCTATTTTACGCGTTTCTCGTTAACAGGATCCCTCGACTGAAACTTAGCTACACGGCTTTGCAAAACAATCGCTAATAACGTTGCAAAATAAAAAGTATTACACGTAGTTGTTCGGAGCACGAGCCATAAAATTGCCACGGCTGGGGAGCGGGGCGGGAGGGGGCCTTAATGCAATAAACAATAGCAATAAAAGGTACCTGGATGGCGTTACTTTTTTGAATGTGTATATATTTACGAACTAATTCCCGTGCATCGTTTTTATGACTGAGTCATCGTAAATGGATAGATAATTATATTATTGCAAACAGTTTGTGTTGGCAATTATTAATAAATGAGGTTTCGCAATTACGATAATTATGATAGCAGTGAATTTTAACGACCAATTTTTTTCAGTTTTCTTGGCGCTCTAATAAATGGTAAATTTTTCGAGTGCACAATTAAAGAATGCAACGTTGTGAGAGCCCAAGATCCGAAATTATGGTCAGCGGGAACCCATATCAAAATATTTTTTCACCGAAAAATGTTTAAAGAATACGACATTTCCGAGTAACTCACTAGAATTGACTAGGTCTACGACGAACAACGTTTTAGCTTGGAACAATCGTGTTAACACTGACAGCACAGTCCCATATTTAGGCTTCTCTCTTGCTTTTTCTTATTCAAGCCCTGCCGGTAATAATGGCTGGCTGTTTATTTAGTCAAATAGTTTATTTGAAATCACCAATCTAGATTTTTCGAATTTTACTACGACTCAATACTATTTTAATATGTGTTTATAGATTTTGTCTGTGCGACTTTCATTTGTTTTTAGAATTGCTTGAGCAACTTTTTTTTCGTACTTAGCTTAACTCTAATCCAATATTTCAGGAGCCTTTAACCCGAATTTTCTCGTAATTTGTCAGATTACAACATTCAAGACAATAAAACACAAATGAAGAGTAGAAGTAACAAAGGGGTTAAGTGCCAAAATTATTAAAAGGAGATATTAAAAAAAAATTTCTTACCAAAATAAAAAACATTTTATTTTCAAAAAATAAACATGTTACTTGGCGTACGAGTAAATAAGCTGCGACACAAAAAACAAGGAAAAAATTATTTTTTTATAAATATTTAAGAAAAATAAGAAACGGATAAGTGCCAGTGGTCAAATTAGAATAAAATGGTGCTTAGGGTCTTTTAGATAAGGAATCATTGATATTAGGTGCCGTTTCTTGTTCTCACCGACCTTATTCATGTCTGGTAGCAGCCTAACTTATATATTTGTAATATCTTCTATGGTTTTTCCTTTCTTGATTCAGCAGTAGACAAAAAGCCAGTTCTTTGGGAGTCAACTTTCATTCGAACGACTTTGCTAATAGCCACTTGTTTGAGATTTAGTATCTTGTCAGCTGCCGTTTGTAGATCAAAAAATTTTTTTTGTCATATCTACTATCTCAAATCGGCCTGTATGTGTACTTGACAGTATTACATTGTGTAAGTCATCATGTACCATCGGAACGCACTTGCGCTTTCTTTTGTCGATCAACGCGCAAACTCTATCGCACTGAAGGAAGCTATGATCAGTAACAACGTACCTATGTTCAATAGTGTCAAAGAGTCCACAACTCACTAAAAACACATAAATAAATACAATCATTCTGTTTTTATTTTGAGCAATACAGTTATCACTCCAAACAGCAACATTCTTTTTTCTCTAATGCTAATATTGAGAACTTTGCTGCCCGACTTCTTTCGCACTGCGGTTTTATTTCGCAATTTAACGAGTCACATTTACGACAGGTGTCACTTCGACGTCCTCTAAATGAAACATTTGGAAAGTCTTCTTTTAACATCTTTTTGTAAAACTTGTAGTTGACCAATATTGCTGCAAAAACGGCGGTTCACATTTAAATCTGGACTTAAATATTCTTTTGCACTTTTTTCACACGAATAATGAGATTATATGCTCTCTAACAAGTTGCATATCACAGTGCGTAATTTTTCAAGGAGCTGTATGAGTTTTCATGTCTTTATAAACGATTTTGCGGCTTTTGTTCTTTCGTATAATAGTTTCCAAATACTTTCTTGTCAAATGAAAAGTATTCATAAAAGTAGATTTACATACGCACGAATAATGAGATTATATGGTCCCTAACAAGTTGCCTATCACCCTGCGTAATTTTTCAAGGAGCTGTATGAGTTTTCATGTCTTTATAAACGATTTTGAGGCTTTTTTTCTTTCGTATAATAGTTTCCAAATAGTTTTTTGTCAAATCGAAAGTATTTATAAAAGTAGATTTACATACGCACGAATAATGAGATTATATGCTCTCTAACAAGTTGCCTATCACCCTGCGTAATTTTTCAAGGAGCTGTATGAGTTTTCATGTCTTTATAAACGATTTTGCGGCTTTTTTTCTTTGGTATAATAGTTTCCAAATACTTTTTTGTCAAATCGAAAGTATTCATAAAAGTATATTTACATACAACTACAACCTTACCCTCTCCGTCTGGAAGGCTATAGTGAGTGGCACATTGACGGTGACTATCACGAGGGTATTTGTATGAGCCATGCCTTCTACTCCTTACGTTAGTTAAATGTATTAAGCCCATGATGTACGATCCACGGACTTCAGGTTCTGCAGTATTTTTCAATAAGGGTCAATCTCTGTTCGTAGTTTAACGACTTGCAGTTAAATTTACATTTACATGTTATCTGCAAGAAAGAAGGATATTTTTTAGTACTTACGGAAAAATATATATATATACACAATAAAACGATCTGTCTACGAGATCGCCGTAAGGTTGTTCACAATATTAAAAAAAAGATTGGTGAGGATCTAAACTAACAACTGCGAATTCAAACCAACGGCGCATAAGATCAAAATTGGGACCGTCCTAGGGTCACATAGACGCTTTCATATTAGAAATTAAAACAATGTTAACTTGTAGGTTAGGTCTCATTTTTTCAGCTACAGCGTTCCCATTTCTGTTTTTATAGGATTGTCCTGCATTTTTGCGTTGTCTCTGCTCATCACTTAATCTTCTTATTCCTTGTTTTCGATGTTCAAAATTCATTTCGAATAGCTCTTTACAATATTTGAGACCGTCGTTACAGAAAACGATTGTGTGATTGTGTGTTGTGAAAATAATAGATCACTTACAGAAAGCGCCACCTATCTGCGTAATTTGTTCCGGGAATTGTAATCCTGACACTTTGCACACGTGATGGGTCATAGTGCATGGGACGTAGAACCTTTTTATATAAAAATTTAATTTTCAAAAAAAATGGCACTTAGCACCTTTGTTACTTCTACTCCTCAAATATAAGAACAAAAAATAATTTTTCTTTGACCACTCCAATTTTCAGTAGGAAGTTTACCGTTAGCAACGTTATTAAGAATGATTTCGAAAATCGTATCTATGCGAAGCCTCTCCGTACTTCGTAGTGTACAAACTCACTACGCAGCTTTGTATTTTAAAAGGGTTTTGTCCTAGAGGGGCGCATTGTTTTTGTATCGAGCTCCTGCGGACCAATATGGATGTAATTTTATTGTGCACACACCTGGTATAAAGTGACATTCACATATTTGCGAATTTCAAAGTCACAGTAAGCTTTGGTAGATATTAAAATTTGTACTGGTAATTGCGATTTAACAAAAGATGTACAAATAATAGCGATTTCCAATTATATTTTTTCAAATATCTCGCGCGCCCTGTATGATTGACGAAATCTGAAACTCTCTCGACACAGTTTACTATACTGTTCAAATAAAATTATCCCATTTTAACAGTTTTTCTTTTATCGCCAATAATTTACCCACTAAAACGGAAATTCTTAGGATATTTTAGATTATTTGCCTACAAACGACACACTCTGTATATAATTCAAACAATGTTTGAAATACGGGTTATGGCCCTGGATCTTCAACTTTTTCTGGTATCTGAATTTTTAAAATAGGGTTTTCGAGAAAATACTTGTTTTCTAAAACCGTGCAGTACGTTTTAATCGCAAATGACGTCATCGCGTCTAGATTGAGACATGGTGATTTTCATATGGATTATTTTAATTATCTCGATCAGCGTATGTGATGGTCAAAAACCGTAAATACAAAAATTCTAGCTCTTGACGCGGCCTATAGCACTGTTTAAATCAAATAGCCGTCTTTTTAACTAATTTTGATTTACTCTCAAAAGCAGCAATTTTCGGGGTCTTTTAGATTTTAGATTAGAAAAAACGCTTGAAATAAAACTCATAGTCCCGGATCTTCCACGTATCTGAGTTCAAGAATTTTCCGGTATGGTTGAATAGTTTAAAAAAAAATGTTTTTTTTTCTGGAAGGACGAAGTAACCAAAAAATTAATTTATTTTTTTAAAATACTTCGTAATATTCGATAGAGTCCTATTCTAACAATTAAAATATCGGTTTGAATTTCTACCTTTTTGCCAAATCTGAAGTCGATAGCCGCAAAATTTAAGACACCTGTTGATTTTTCAATATAATACGGAATATCTTAAATACCGGTTAAAATGGGTAAAAACTTTAAATACAACAGTTTTAGCTGCTTAAGGGGGCTATATCGTCATGTAAAAGAAACTGACATCTTAAACACAGTCTTTCAGTTATAGTCAATTTTCATTAATAGGGAAATCCATTTTTCAGTTTTTTTTTAATATGTACATTTTTGAAAAATTGCAAAGAATGAGTTTATGGAGCCGAATCTTCTGCGTTTTATCGTTCGAGAAATTTTTCGATTCTTTAAACGGTTTTCGAGAAATGATTCTTTTAGACCTTTCCAAACGCGGTTTTTAATTATTTTAAAATACACACCAATTAACGATTTCCCGATACATCTTAATATATCGATTAAACATTCTGTAAACCTGAACTTTTACAATTACTTTGTAATAAAAAACGCCGAATAATTCTTTTAAGAGAGCTGTCAATCATCTAATGACAATAAACTGTTTTACTGTACTCATGAGTACCCAAATTTCAAATTTTAAATCTGTGTAATTTGTTTCGTGACTAAGTGTTTTATCCTTTTATTCATATATTGTTTATTATACTCATATGCATTTTTTTTTGTTTTGAGCTCCCACACATTCATTTTGTTAAATAAATAAACCTAAACCTTTTTTTTGCGTGTGCTTTGAGCGGATAATTATAATAAACCTAATAATTGAAAACTTTTAAAAATGTATAAAATAGCTCCGAATATACAGTTTGACAGACGATAATTACTTATGACTGTAATAATACTATTAAGGTTTAGGGTAGTAGTAGTACGAAATTATACGGGGTGTCGCAAGAGTACTTGGCAACATAGGAGATTCTTTAGGTAAAAATATTACGATTTGACGAAACTTATCATGGCCCAAAAGTTGATATTAACCGAGCTACAGGTTATTAAAGTTGCAGTTTGGTTTTTTAAAAATATTTTCTGGGGCAATTTGTAGAAGGCGCTACGTATGGTACTTTTGTATGCAGATTTTTAATTAATATATCACTTAAAATTGTTTAGCAGTGTCCAAGAATCTAATAAGTTGCATTTTGGTGCTTTTCTAGTAGTCGTGATTAAGATTTTTGTCATTTAAAAGATTAGTTGAAAACCAAACTGGTGAAAGGATTAAAGACACTTCCCGTTGATAATGGTGGGGAATATGTAAGCAACTTTGAGAATTTTTGGAAAGATTGTGGTATAGTACATTAATTAACAGTGCCAAGAACGACTAAACAAAACGGTATAGCAGAAAGGCTAAATACTTGTGTAAAAAGTGAGGTGTTTATAGATCGACTCTGAGCTTCAAAATATTTTTGGGACCGAAGCAGCAAACACAGCGATGTTTCTACTTAATCGAACAATAAAAAAATGTTTGCAGGGCAAAACATCAGAAGAAGCTTACAGTGGCGTAAAATCAAAGCTAGTGGCACTAAGATTGTTTGGTTGTAAAGGTTTTGCACATCTAGCCAAGAAATTAAGTAAAAAGCTAGATCATAAAACTACGGCCATTATTATGGTTGGTTACAGTCAAGAAAGTAAAGCATATAGACTGTTAAACTTCGTAACAAACAATGTATTTGTTGCTAGATATGTTGTATTGTTTGAAGATGAAAATTGCAGCGTTCTTCTTGAATAAGCAAGAAGCAAGCAAGAAAAACATTTCTGAATGTTTTCAGATGAAAATATAGACAAGGTGACAATGGGTATGATTCAAGTCAGAATGGTGAAAGTGCTGAGTCCATATCCTTCAGACGAAGAACAAATTGAAACCGATTGTACTATAATATTGGTCAAGATCCAGATTTTATTCCAAATCATGATGTACCGGTAAAAGCTGAACGTCAAAGAAGAAGTGAAAGGATAAGACAACCACCCAGACACTTAGAGGAATATGATGTTGGCTATGCAAGGCAAGGTAAATTTTTTTTGAACCTCAGATAATCAGACAAGGCTTAAGCCGGCTAGACAGTGACAAATTGGGATTTAATAGAATATGAAGAACAAAAACCTCTAAAATGTAAATGGGTATTCAAAATTAAGAAAGATTCTCAAAGGAAGATTTTAAAGCACACTGCAAGACTCGTGATTAAAGGATGTAGCGAGAAACAAGGTGTAGATTATGAAATATCAGGTACTTACTAGCATTAGCTGCAGAATTTGATGTAGATATTGATCAGCTAGTTGCTGTAACAGATTTTTTATAAGGGGAACTTTGTGAAGATATCTATATGATACTTTGAAAAATCCAATAACATTTGTAACCTCACAAAATCAATTTATGGGTTTAAACAAGCAAGCAGAGTATGGAACTTGAAATTAGATGAATGCCTTAAGAATACCACCAGAAGAAATAACAACGTATGGTTAGGTTAAAAATTATACATAGAAAATATGCTAAAGAAATATAACATGTCAGAGTGTAATCCGGTTGATTCCCCAGTTTCAATAAGTGAGAAGTTATCAAAGGATGTCATCAAAGACTGAAACAGAGATTGAAAGAATATCCAACTTACTCTATCAAGAGATTGTAGGAAGTTTATTATTTGCAGCTCAAGTATTAAGACCGGACATTCCTACGCAGTAAATAATGTCAGTCGTTTAACTTAAAATCCAAAATCCAATTGTACAGCCACGAAACGGATCCTCAGATATTTAAGGGGTATCAAAAGTAAGAAGACCAAAATTATTGGACATGCAGCTATTGATGGTCGAAGGTCAGTCACTTTATATATATTTTTTAAGAATGGAACAGTCACATCGCGGACAACTAAGAGCAAGCCACCATTGCTCTTTCCACGCCAGAGAGTGAATACATGGCAATGAGCATGGCGGTTCAAGAAGCGTTATGGTTGAGAAAATTAAGGAAGGAGTTTGGACAATGTACAAAACCCACTTTGATACATATTGACAACTTAGGCGCTATAAACCTGGCACAGAAACACATTGAAGTCCGACACCATTTCTTGAAAGAGACGTTCTTTCTGAAGTTTAGATATGTTTCCACAGATCATCAAGTGCCAGATGCCTTAACAAAAGCTGTTCCGAAGAATAAAAACCAGTGGTGTAGTAAGATGTAAGGTTTGAGTTATTTCAAGTACAGCGGCTGCTGGAAGATATACTTCACATTAAGCACACCTGTGGTCGCGGAAACTAAAAACTTTTATTGATAAGATTCTCGCGGTTGTTTTTCTCTGTTTATATATGTAATGTAGCACCTAATAGATTATTCCCGTTTCTAGGGTTTCATTGTTTTTTGGATCTGAATCGCGCTATTCCTACACTAATGCCACGGACGTGTTGGTAATGTAGATACATTCGACATTTTTAAAGCAGTGGATCCATTATATTATGTAATAGCAATAGGGAAGCAAAGCATGCATATCTACTTTTATAATGAGGAACATTGAACCCTTGCAGGAGTTGTTGTTGTATACTGGATTTTTAAAAATATTTATATTTATTGCAATTTATCTATTTTCATATTATTCTTAATTCAAAATTTTTATTTACTCGAACTTTAAATAATTAACATCTCAATTATCTTCCCAAATACGAACACTGTAGTTTCAATTTATTCGAACTTTACGATATAATCTTTCTGTTGTCTACCTTGTTTAATGATTCATGCCATTAGGAATTTACATATTTAGACATCGTGGCCGCAACTAACAGTTTAAATGACAATTTTTTCTATTGTCCATATATTTCTAATAGGCAATCGAGTTTGGACAACCCTGTATAATTAACACTTGTCCTTTTCTTATTTCTAAGTATTCTTTTGCAAAAAATTGAAATCTGAATATTGCCCTTATTTGATTGGTGCAAGGTCTTTAGACAATATAAATCCAATTACGGTTGGCGGTACTTCTCGGGAATCAAGGCAAGGCTGACCGGAACCAGGCAAGTCGTTCGCTTCGCAGAATCAGCAATTTTCTATGTTGTAATTGTTGCGCACTTAATAGTTTTGTGTAAGTAGGTGTAAATAATCAAATAAATTTTAGTATCCAAACACTTGCGTTAAAATTATCCAACGTGCCTGAAAATAGATTACATAAGCAACCGTTCCATAAGCAATCTCTATACAAGGCATTTTTTTGAGTTCAACAGTATATGCAATTAATTTTTTTAAATCTAGATATTTGAGTTAAGTTTAGGTCAGTTCAGAAGTACAATCAATTGTAAAAACATCTTTTATTTTAATATGTTTGTGTATTGTGCTGTAATGTAAAGTAAATTTCTGTTTAATAGTTACTTCAATTCTATTAGTTTCTGTTAATTAATTATTTAAAAATTAGTATTTTTATGCTTTAAATTCAACCATAAAATATGAATTAGAAGATGAAAAGACTTTCAGTTTCTTAAAAGATAAACTATCCATTTTGAAGGACATTGAAAATGGTAAGAAAACAAAGTACCTTTACAAATCTACAATAAGAGTAGTAAAAAAAAAGAAAATTTAGAAGAATATGCGTCCAAAACGTACGTGAATCATAGCAAGATCAAGTTCCAAGAGCCAGAGCTCGCTTCGGTGCTGGTCCAAAACGTAAAAAAAAACGCACATAGCGATCCCGCCAGGATGTTAATTATCGCGATAATCAACATTTTCTTCAATAAAGTACCTAAAATTCCCAACATAAGACTCTTACTTTGATTTAAATAATCCCATTTTAATAGCCCAAATATTTCCTGCGAACTATGGGGGAGAATCCCGAACATCCTCCCGCGACTAAAGAAAAAAAAAATAGTGCTCCGTGGCTGAAAACGGCAACGGACATAGCTTAACTAACGGTCGCTTAAAGGTTCCTTGTTTAGTTAAGACTGCTGCTACTCGCGCAGTTTTATCGTTTCCATTTAAAAGTAGGTACATTATCGGTGGTTATTAGAACCATATCACCAATTGCGATTGAAGTAGAGGGTTACAGCCACTTTTCCCTTTGATGCAAAGTATTCAAGTACTCATTTCGTCCAAAAGTGATGATGCATTTGTTACAACATTTGCCATTTATTAAGGCGACCCCTTTTTGGATGAGTTACGCGAGAATATTAATTATCGCGTAAACAAAAGTTTCCTTCAATAAAAGACCTGGAATGAAAATAAATACATATTAATAATATTGATAATAAAGGCCTTTATTCTAAAAAAGAAGGGCGAGATTCGGTCCAACTAAGTTAAATAAATAACTAGAAGTCTGTTCTTACATCTAACCCAATCAAGAAGATAAACGCAACAACAAAATGACCATATAAATTTTAACAAATTCAAAAAGGAAATTATAATAACACGAAAGACAAAAGATAATAACTAAAATAATAATAAAGTAATAATAAAATGACACATCCGAACAACAAAGTTTATGGTTAGGTACATAACACTGGTCTGCAAAAAAAAAAAATTCTCCTTCTTGTTTTCATGCATGAATTCATCTTATTTTATGCTCTAAACACGGAATCTGATATACAAATAAGTACCACACCTAGGTTTTTAATTTAATATTTATTTTATCAAAAAACAATATTATTAAAGTATAAATTAATATAAGGAAATAAAAAAATGTGGTGGCTTGAGTTTTACAGTAAAAAATTCTAAATTATATTAACAAAACTAATAAATATCGTCAGTTATTTCATTATGGAGTGATAGTGGTCAACAGAAATCAGCAAGCATTGCTGCTGACCATTTTCCATTGTAGCGTTTTTCAATTTGCATTATATCCTGATGAAACCTTTTACCATGCTCATCTGATACAGCTCCAGCATGGATTTGTGACCTTCTTCAATCCAACCTCTCAACGTTCTTGAGCAGCTATTGCAGCATACTTTTGGCAACCAACTTTTTTCCCGCTCATCGATAGAAAATCCAAAATATAGCTTATAAGCTGTTTTAACCAGATCGGTCATGACATGTCGCTGTGTTTTTAGTATGTGTTCCCCACAAATGTAGCAGAAACAATCTGAGGAATTTTTACAAGTCCGTGGCATTTTGTAACCTAAAATCACATACAATTAATTTTAAAACAACTTTCAAACTTCTATTTTATATTTATTGGCTCTACTTAAAAAAATTCTCAAACTACACATCAAATACTTAAATCCAATGTAGAGAACATGAACTTTATGCAAAACTTACCAAAATATTTGATATAAAAGGTAAACAATTAAACGACAAGTTTTCACTGAACTGTTGTAGTGTCACAATGAATACTGCGCATGCGCGTATTTACTACCATAAAAATCACCTTCGGCACTTCCCTCCTTTCTCTTATAACTTTCTGGAACTCATTTTGTATGTATATTTACTTTTTGTAACGTTGACGAATGAAAAAATTGAAAAAAAAAATTTTTGAAATATAAAAAAAATCATATCGAAAAATCTGAACGTGATAGAAAAAATCGGCCAACGAGGATAGATTCAAAACGTTTGAATCATTATATTTATCATAAATTTTTTTAAAGGAGGATTTAATTGCTAACCAGTGTAATCTGGCGGCAAGTTGTGAACATCAGTACTGAAGCGAATCTTGCCATACTAATACAAGACTGTTTTACTAGTCAAAATACAAAGGTAGAAAGTTCCTCTATGTAGGTATCTTCTATTTTGCATATTTAACCAACCATTCAATTTTAACGTATGACTGACCGGATTGTGCTTTTTTATTCCACAAATTAAGCGCAAATACGAACTTTCAAGTTCCTGTATTCGTCCTATATATGTGCTTTTTAGGCACGGAGCATAAACGATATCACAATAGTGTGCAAGGGCCAGCGACTCACAGAGCATTGATTTTACGTCTCTAGTTAGGATATTTCTTTGTTGATATATCCGTTTTAAGTTCATGTAACCTTTCTGGAAGCAACAACTTACATGCTTTTTGATTCGCATATCTTGCTCTAAGGTCAGTCCTAGATTTTTAAAAGTTTCATAGAATTTAACTGGCTCACCCTATATTAAAATATCAAGTTTGTGTGTATTTTCAAAATCTTTTATCTCAATCTTCCTATATATCATATCATAACAGTCGATTTATTTGGATTGAGTTGCAAGGAGTGTGTTTTGGAGAATTCGTTTCAATTTTCAAGACAATGATTAGGGGCATCAAGAGCTTGAATGCTTTCATCGGGACTAAATGACAGGTAAAGCTGCGTGTCATCAGCATAATAATATTGGGTGCATGACTGAAAAATAGAAGGGAAATCCGACATATAGATTGAAAAAAAGGCCTAGAATAGAACCTTGAGGTATACCGGTTTAATGAAACAGAAGTGTTTCCTGCATGTCATAACCTGTGATCTATCATCGAGATAATTTGCAATCAAAGTTCTGCGTCAGTCCTACATAGTTCAATATTGAATTCAAAATACTGTGAATGAGAGTGTCAAATGCCATAACAATAATAAGAGTTGTTAGTTTATTTTTATCTGTAGCCGATAGTAATCATCAGTAACTGTTGCCAAAGCTATGGAGCAGCTATGACCTTTCCAAAATCCGGATTGCGTAGAAAGGAAAATGTGATTTTGTTTTACATGTTTTGTAATTGTAATTCTAGCACTTTTTCAATAATTTTGGACAAAGTGGGAAGAATACTAATTCGACCTAGGTCATTATATGACAGCGGCTTAGATATTTTTGCTAGTGGTAGTACCCTACCTTTTTTCCATTATGCTGGGGAAACCGGAGTTTTTTAAACAAAAATTTATGACATGAGTAATATAAGGCAGAAGAAAAGGTACACACAATTTGATTGTTAAAATATTAAGATTATCTAATCCAGTTGAAGTAGTTTTGACCCTTGAAATTATGTTAAGAACGTCAATTTCTGAGATTTCCGAGAAAGTAAGAGTAGAACGTATCGTACCCTTTAAACAATTATTATAGAAGCTTACTAAGTTATCGTCAACTGGAAGTTCTTGAACACAATTAATGAATAATTGATTTGTTTGATCGACGTCATTACAATTTTCGGGGATTTGGGTATTTCGCGCTTTGGTAATATTCAATGTTTTATTATGGAATTATCTACCTAAAATTAACAACATAATACTCTTACTTTGATTTAAATAATACAATTTTAAATAACCCAAATATTTCCTATGAACTATGAGGGAGAATCTCGAACAGTAACGCGTTAACGCTACAAGTATAGTCTTTCTCAATCTTCATCGTCATCTTCAGAGTCGTCACTGAGATTAATTATAATAGGATTTATGTTGTTTTGTACAGAAATGTTGAAGTCCTCAATTTTTATAATGTGCTACATTGATTTTAGTCTGTCTCAATCTTCATCGTGCTGGCTTTTGACCGCAATTATGTAAGGTACCCAACCAACGGCAATAAAACTTGGGTCCAGTAGGTATTAAAGGACAGAACATTAGGAACGGACTCTCAAAGGTTTTAGGATTTATGTTGTTTTGTATAGAAATGCAAAAGTCCTCAATTTTTATAATGTGCTCTGCTGATTTTTTCCAGTTCTCGATTGGTATGTTATTAATTACATTTTTATCAAATTTATAACAGTGGAACTTAAAGTAGGAGTAGGAACATTTTCTGTTCCGACCTTTGATTTTACTTGGTTCCACAATTGCTCCATGGGGTTAAACATGCAATTATATGGAGGAAGACGCAAACAGTATGCCCAGCCTGTTCAGCCAAATTATCGCATACATGCTGTTTTTTAATTGCAAATGAATTTAGGACTTCCAACAGTTGCACTTAAAGTTAAAATGATTCTTTGCAGACAACACCAAGCAATTTGGGACTACTTTTATTCTTTCTCTTCAATTCTCCACTATTAATAATATCCCTTATCAACGATATTGGCATTTTTGTAAGTAGACATTGTTGAATTCTAGTAAAATTACTTTTTCGAAACGCACAGTGAAAACGATTATTCAACACCGCCACAAACGGTCAATACTCAAGAAATATACCAGAAAGAAAGAAATGCACCTGGCCTACCCTTGCCTTGTCACTCAACTTAGGATATTTTTTTTGTAAATGGCTGCACCAAATAACAACAGCTAATAACATCGTTAAAGTTTTATTGATGAGGCTCCGTCGAAAGTCAATACGACGAACATTGAGACAGACTATATGCACTCGTTGCTTCAAAAATATGGATTCGCCAGTATATACTTTTAAGGTAAAACGGCGGTTTTACGTCACTATCTACTGGTTTATTAACGTGTTCGTTTCAATAAATGCCGAAGATGGCGATTTGGACTAGTATGTGAACGATATTTACATGAAACTGTTGGGAACAAAAAATGATAGTTAATGCTGATACCTGCAGTTCTGATGCGGTTTTAGAAGCGATATGTGTCGGAAGAGCCGATTTTGGTTGGAGTCTGTTTGAAATGAAGAAGAAAGAAAAAGTAGGGTTTTAATTCCATATCGGCATTTTTAAGGCAGATTTTGTTTGAATTAGGCGAAAAAGCAGTTTCTGACTGGAGCCGAATCGAAATTGGCAACTATTTATATTGATAGTATATCAAAACTGCATATATCGGCTTAAACTATCATTTTTTGTTCTAAGCAGTGACGTTTTCATAAACAGTAGATATCGACTTAAAACAGCCTTTTCTGGTTCCAATAGTTGCTAATTTCGATTAAATTCCAGTCAGAATCTGATTTTCACCTCTTATTGTAGCGAAATCTACCTTAAAAATGCAGGTATGAACTTAAAAAACCACTTTCTGGGAAAAAACAGAAATTCATTTAAACATCTTTTTTTGTCAAGTTCTTCTTTCTGATCACTTTTCAGAAGAAGATGATATTCTCTAGACAAGATTGTATAAT